CGGAGCGACGGCGGCAGAGTTGCGGCCGCCGGCGACCTCACACGGCGTCGAGCGCCGTAGAGACGGCCCCGAGAGCCGCCGCCAGGTGTGCCACGACCGCGGTCGCGAGGCTCGTGGCGATAGATGCGCCAGACCCGCTTGCGCCGCCGCCCTCAACGCCCGATACTCGGTCAGAGCCGGCGGAGCGACGGCGGCGGAGTTGCGGCCGCCGGCGACCTCACACGGCGTCGAGCGCCGTAGAGACGGCCTCGAGAGCCGCCGCCAGGTGTGCCACGACCGCGGTCGCGAGGCTCGTGGCGATAGATGCGCCAGACCCGCTTGCGCCGCCGCCCTCAACGCCCGATACTCGGTCAGAGCCGGCGGAGCGACGGCGGCGGAGTTGCGGCCGCCGGCGACCTTCCCCTCGACCACGCCGCCGACCCGTCGACAAGCACACGCGGACTGCCATCGAGAAGAAGGAGAAGGATGGCGGCGCATCCGGAGCCCGCGGGCGCAGCGGGCGCGGGTCCGGGCGCGGGCGGGCGCGCGGGAACCCCGCCAGCGGAGGCGACAATGCCTCTGGCGGCTCTGCAGGCGGCGCGCGGCGCGCCCCTCGCCGGTCTCCCGCACGCTCCTGAGGGCCGAGAGGGCCGAGAGGCGGGGTCGGTGACCCGGGGGCATGGGCGGTGCGGCCCGCGCCGCGCGCGGGCGCGTGGCAGCCCGTGAGGGCCGAGATCGGGTCCGTACTTCGACGTAGTATGGGCCCCCGGCGGCCCTCTACAGCAGCGGCGAAGTGAGCGTGTTTGTGGTGTTGGTGTGGCGTCTGAGCTTGGATCTGTGACTAAAGCCGGTTACCACTGATGGATCCCCACCCGAATAACACACAGTGAGCGCCCCAGCGCTTCACTACGCCCTCCGCGCGAAATCGCTAGTGGTGCTTTGTGGTAGTATATTGTACTTTTGAGTAGTATGGGTACGGTTCCCGAGACCGGCGTGTCTGTTTTCTTTCTTTCTTTTTAGGGATGGGGGAGGAGGACTACTCCACACCTGCACGAGCAGGATTTTGGAAGGACGACCAGGGGCACAGGTGGGGCTCTCCTGCTCCTGACAAGGGGGGAGCGCCTGCGCACGGTCCGCGCACAATTCTTTTTCTCAGCGAGTCGGACGCCGAGCCCTGGGCTGCTCCGCTCCGAGCGATGGCGATGGTGCGCTCGCTGCGTAGCGGCATGTTTTCTTGCAGCCCCGCCCGAGCCCGCCCCTCCCCCGCCTCCGCAGCTCCGCCAAAACTTCCAGAGCTTCCTCACGGGCGGTGTCGTCGCGCTCGCTTTTGGCTACTACCGCGTGCACCAGGACATCTACGTTGCGGCGGGAGCAGTAGACGCGCGGATCGAAGCGCTCGGCAGCGAGACCGTCAGCTCCGTCGCTGCGATGCAGAAGCGGGTAAAGGCTCTCGAGCAAGAAGTGGCCGCGCTCAAAGCGCTGAAAGGATAGTTTGTGGGTGTTCGTGCGTCGGTGCTCTGCTGAAACGGGGGGCTGCTCTTCGGAGCGTTGGTCGTGTTTGAATACGGCGCTTTGCGCCTAGATTTTTTTCAACCGCGACTCTCGTACATATCCCTCTCTCCAGACTCTCGGTCTCATTGGACGAACTCTCTCTGCTCCCTCTCGGCTCTCTCTCTCTCAGCTCTCTCTCCATCTCTCCATGGTTTTGTCAGACGGTGTCAGAGTACTGTGAGGGGCGCGAGGACGAGGACGAGCAGCCGGCGAGGCGCCGGCCCCTCGACGCACGCCCCATGCATTCAGCGCCTGCCCTGCCGCCGCGGGTCCTCCCCGCGGTCACGGGTCGCTGCTGCTGCCAGCTCCGCCCGAGGTGTCGGTCGCGGAGCCCGATCCGCGGACGGCGACGAGCTCGAGCAAGTTGGTGAGCCTCGTCTTTGCCATCGTGAAGCAGTGCACCACCTCTGCGCGGTGGATCTCCGACACGTCCTTCTCGAGCATCTCGGACAGCTGCTCTGTCTGCTGCTCGAGCTCGGTCTGGTTCATCTCAAAGTGCGTGCGGAAGTTGCCGCCCTGCGGCAAGTAGAAGGCGTAGACGTACCTGCGCGGCGAGAAGGGGGGTTCGGAGCGGTGCCCGGGCAGGGGCCGGGGCCGGGGCCGGGGGGGGGAGGGGGAAGGACGCACGTGTACTGCAGTGCGTACCGGCACTCGTACAGCGCCTCGTTTGCATCCTTCAGGTAGGTGCAGTCGATCCACCTGTGCGCGAGGCGGAGGGGCGTGGAGGGTGGCGCGCGCGTGTGTGTGTGTGTGTGTGTGTGTGTGTGTGTGTGTGTGTGTGTGTGTGTGTGTGTGTGTGTGTGTGTGTGTGTGTGTGTGTGTGTGTGTGTTCGGTGGTGGGGGGGGGGGGGGGCGGAGCGGCTGCCGCGGGGCGGCGACGCGGCGCGCGCACGTCTTGTCGCCCTGCTTCTCCATCTCCTTGATCTTCTCCTCCATCTTTGCCCTCGCCTCGACCTCAAACTTGAGCGAGTTGTGGTGGTTTGTGAAGCGGGTGTAGTAGTGCAGGTACCGCTCGAGGGCGGCGCGCGACGAGTCCTTCTTCTTGGCCTCGGGGTTCTCCTTCTCCTTTTCCGGGTCGTACCGGTTGCACGAGTAGTACGAGCCTGCGCGGTGGATACGCCAACTTCAGGGCGGGAATACGGTGTTGTGCAGCGTATTCAGAGCACCGCGTGAGTACGAGGGAGGCGAATACAGTGAATACGGCCGACAACGCTTTACAGTGGAATCCATGTCCTCTCGAGCGCGAGTTGGGAGACAAGGAGACGTGTTCTGCATCTAGGTAGTCGAGCCCGAGTGGTCCTTCCACGGGCCGAGGCAGACCCAGCAAAACTCAAACTTGCAAGAGGAGTTCTTGCACGTCATGTGGTTGCAGCCGCCATTCTTCTCGATCGAGGTGGCGCACTTGGGGCACGCCTTTGTGTTGGACATCAGCCAGTTGTACGTCTCCGAGTCGTCGCGGCACTTGACCATCCACTTGGCCAGCTCCTCGCACGAGCACGGCGCGTGGTCCTCGTCGTTGCACTTGAAGCAGAAGCGCTGCCCGCACGAGCACTTGACGCCGAGGTGCCCCTTTGGCGCGCGGATCGCGTTGCCGCACCCGGCAGCCGTGCACCACTTGAGGTTTGGGTTGTCGTCGACGTAAGACCGCTCGATGCGCCGCGCCTTGTCAAAGATGGCGCGCTTGTCGGCCGGCAGCGCGAGCGAGTGCACCAGCCGCTCCGAGACCACCAGCGAGCACTGCCGCCGCGCCGCCACGCCGGCGGTCAGCAGAGCGCGCGCGAGCCGTGCGGGCAGCAGAGAGCGCGGACTGCGGGAGCGCGCGCGCAGGCGGGCCTCGGCTGAGCGGGGCTGGGCACACCTCGGGCTTTGGACACGTAGCAAAGACGCAGTTGTAGCCCTCGTCGGTGATCTTGTGGGCCAGGAAGGTGGTGTAGCACGTGTTGCAAAACTGGTGCCCGCAGCCGAGCGCAGAGTAGTCGGCCGACGTCTCGTAGCATATCAAGCACTGCACGTCCGGCAGCGACCCGCGCGGCTGAGACGTGCCGCCGACGGCCACAGCGCCGTCGGCGTGGACGATCTCGAGGTTCTCGCCCTGATGGATGCCCGCGCGCTTGAGTACCTTGTCTGCGTCGCAAAGGTACTCTGCGCGCGGGTGGCAGGCCGCTGTGAGCGCAAGGCTAGAAGGCACGCCTCCGCGGCTGGCGCTTCCTCGCCTTCGGTGAGCTTCTCGCGGTTCCAGCGGAACTGGCGCATCAGGATGCTGGCCACCTCCTCGCTGCAGCATAATAGCTCCCTCACCTCATCGACCTCCTTCTGCGCGAGCGCGAGGCACTCGGAGGCGTCGAGCACGGTGAAGGTCTGCGTCTGCTGCCGAATGGGCTCCGAGTCGAAGATCTCCTCCTCGGGATCCGAGGTGTCCTCCTGGGAGCAGGACATCTCGTCGTACCCATCAGAGCTGCCTGCCTCGCTCATCTCCAGGCGGCCGAGTCCAGCCAGCCCGAGAGGCGGTCTCACAATAAATATCTCTTTTCTTTCTTTCTTTCTACAAACACACAAAAACTCTCACACATACACACACACACACAAATAAATCTCTCTCTCTCTCTCTCTCTCACACATCTCTCTCTCTCTCACACACACACACACACACACACACACACACACACACACACACACACACAAATAAATCTCTCTCTCTCTCTCTCACACACATCTCTCTCTCTCTCTCTCTCTCACACACACACACACACACACACACACACACACACACACACACACACACACACACACACACACACACACACACACAAATAAATCTCTCTCTCTCTCTCTCTCTCTCACACATCTCTCACACACACACACACACACACACACACACACACACACACACACACACACACACACACACACACACACACACAAATAAATCTCTCTCTCTCTCTCTCTCTCTCACATAACTCTCTCTCTCTCTCTCTCTCTCTAGCCAGATAGGGGGTCTGTTGACCCCCGTGACACCCTATGCAATAGGTGGGTAGGTCCGGTTTTGACCGCCCAGAGGGCCGCCCTGCAACACGTAGGTACCCCCCTATTTTCGCTGCGCGGCCTGGGGATAGGTAGCCAGGTAGCGCTTTTTGATTGGTGCTCGAGATCCCCTACCTACCCGGGTATCTACCAGGGTAAGCCTGACGCGATGGCAGTCTTGAGATCTAGCACTCCAACGCGCAGCGCTCTCGACGCGCCGTCGGGCGTGCGCTGCGCACTCTGGCATTGGGAGCCGCCCACGGCCGCCGTCGGCCTGGTGGTTTTGTTCCACGGCATGGGCTCGCACGCTCGCTTTCCGTCGACTTCGCTCGCGGCGGAGGTGCTCTCCGCTGGTGGGTTCGCCGTGTGCTCGCCCGACATGCCGGGCCACGGCGAGAGCGACGGCCTGCGCGGCTTCCTGCTCTCGAGCGAGGCTCTCGAGGAGGACGGCGAGGCGTTCGCAAGAGAGGCACGGCGGCTGAAGCCGGGCCTGCCGCTCTTCCTCGCCGGCAGCTCGATGGGCGGCGCCATTGCCTTTCGCGTCGCGCAGCGGTGAGCTCACAACAGACACCGTCCGAGCCCGATGCACGCCAGGCGTCTCATTCCTCAACTACCGACTCGCTCTGTCGCGAAAGGCTCGACGGTGTGAGCGGTCTCGTCCTCCTTGCGCCGATGCTCGCGCCTCCGGCGTCGGCCGCCGCCGCATACCTCCTCGCCGCCCTGTCGTACCCGCCTCCTCTCTGCGGGCATGCGCTCCTGTCGTGAGAGCAGCGTCTCTTCACACCCCGCGCCTCTGTGCACAGGTACACGCCCCTCTGCCGGCTGCCGCTCATCCCGTCGTCCGCGACCGACAATGCAAAGCAGTACTCGGACGAGGCCATCATCAAGCGGGTCGACGCGGACCACCTCTCCTACAAGGCGAGATACAGCCGAGATGCAGCCGAGATGCAGCCGAGATACAGCCGAGATATGGTCGAGATGTGGTCGCTCTCCTACAAGGCGAGGCTCGACCCCGGCAGTCAGTCAGTCTTGCACACGTCCTAGCGCGGGGCACACGCGGAACATACACGGGGCAGCAGCTGCGGGGCAGGCACGCGAGGCGGGTTGTGGGCGGGTTGTGCGATCTCGGGAGAGATTTAGATCCTGGCCGCCCCTCCTATCCCGGACCCGGCTCACTCACTCTCGGCGGCGGCGGTCCGTCTTTGGTCCCCGCGGGAAGCCCCGCGCAGAGGACAACAACGTCTGTCCCACACGCGCACAGACGCGCGCATACACAGCTCGGGTTCCCTCCGGTGGGATGTCACCCGGCGAATCGGCTAAGCTCTCTCCCGCCCGCCTGCAGGGGGCGCTGCGCGTCGGCAGCGCGAGCGCGTGCGTCTCGCTCGGTCCGCGCGCTCTCTTCTCCCTCCCTCCCCCCTCTCCCTTCCTCCCTCCGCGCGCTCTCCCTGCTTCGGGCCGGTCTCCCGGCTCCCGGCCCGCTTTGCCCGGGAGTGAGAGCGCGGGCCGGCTCATCTCGGCTAAAGCCTCTTGGCCGGGCGCATCTCCGCACAGGCGCCGCCTGTGAGGCGACCCTCCCCGGCCTGGCCTGCCCCTTCTTCTGCCTCCTCGCCGACCGCGAGCTGGTGCTGAGCGAGGCGGCGCGCGAGGCGGCCGAGAGGCTCTGCGAGGTGGCGGCGACGCCCGCGGCTGACCGCACGCTGAAGCGGTACGACGCGCTGCACGCGCTCCTCTGCGAGCCGGAGCCACTGCGCTCGACCATCGCGGGGGACATCCTAGCGTGGATGCGCCGGTACGCAGCCGGAGAGTCGACGTGAGCGGTCGACGTGAGCGGCCGACACACGCAGGGGCGGACTTTTGGAAATCCAACATGCCACGAGGCGGAAACTTCAAGAATTTACTAGCGGGACCCCAAGTTCACAGCCTTGTTATTGAGAAGAAAATACCTCCTATGGCGCTGTGCGCTGCCGCTGGTCTGGGTGAGAGGTTGAGGTGCGACTGCGAGCCCTGGAGGCCCTGTTCACACTGGGGTCCCGTACCATGCGGAATCGACCCTATCCAGTGCTCAAGTGCTCAAGAGTTCACAGACCTTGTTATTGACAAGATTATGACAAGAAAATAACGTCCTATGGCGCTATGCGCTGGTCTATGAGAGGTTTGGAGAGGTGCGAGCCCTGGAGGCCCTGCCCCTGGGGATGGGGGGAGACTACCCGCGGGCCTAGAAGGCCCGCGCGCAGGGGGGTGGGAAATTGAGATTGAACATTCTGTTCAGCGTGTGGATTACTTGTCCGATGTCCAGCGTCGGCGCGTAGCTCGGGTCGTACAAGTACTCACCGGTCTCAGCGGCATTGCCATGGTAGGCCAGGCCCACCTTACTCTATACCCCAGCGCAGCGCGAGCCTGCATATGCTCGCGCAACCCCACCTTGGAAGGCAACTCGCCGCGAGGCCAGCCCTCCTCCAGGAGGACCTGCTTGCGGCACGCTGCAGACGAGGGGTTGAGGAGGTCGTAGTCGCCAAGGTCTTCTGCCTCCCAGGGCGGAAGGCCCGAGCGCGCGGGCCCGCCCAAGACGGCTGGGCGAGGGAGCGCGCGGCGGAGCAGCGAGCTGAGGAGGTTGTACTCTCTGCTCGCAGGGTCGAACTCACGAGTGCCGATAGACCGCTGCCAGGCTCCAAAAACGTCTAGCGCCTGGTGGTCGTCGGGCGGGGGCCGAGTACCGATGAGTTGTCGTGCAGCAGCTGGTCTGGCTCGCAAAACTCGGCTCCGCTTCCGCCGAAGAAGTCGCTCGAAAAGGGGTCATCAGAAGACTGTTCGGCAAAGATCTTGACGCTGGCGGCGTACTCCTCGGCAGCAGGCTGCTTGTCGGCGGTAGAATGGACAACGGGCATCGTCTCGACGGCGTCGGCGTTGCCGTTGAAGTTGCCAAGGTAGCCTAGGTCGAAGATGTCGACGGCATCGGCAGCCCCACCGTCGGCATCGGCGATGTCGCCGTCCTCCTCGTCGCCCTCGCGAGAGGCGGTGGCATCCTCAACGGCCCGTGCATCGCCGCGCCCATCGAAGCTGCTGGTCGGTGCGCCAGAGCGTGCGACGGCATTGAGGCGCTGGAGCGCCTGCGACACGAAGACGCAGCAGCCGTTGAGCTCGCTCGGGCAGACCTTGGCAGAGTGGCCGAGGCCTTGGCAGTTGAAGCAGCGGATCAGATCGCGTAAGACGGCTTCGGAGACGGGCTGCTTGCGTACGGGAGCCTGAGCGCCGCGCGCAAGTCGACCGACATTGCGCCGGCCACGCACGGCGCCGGCGGCGAGGGCGTCGTCCTCCTCCTCGTCGACGAGGTGGGCGTCGGCTCGCTGGTTGGCCCCAGCGTCGCGTCGACGCGGAATGCCGTTGGCCTTGTGCGTTTCGCGCCACATGGGCTCGAGCTTCTCAAGCAGGAGCGTGAGCGAGCGGTGCCCGGCGACGCCAGCAGCAGGGTTGCCAGCGACCCAGAAGCGCCGCTCGGTCGGGTTGGCGGCGAGCTCCTGACGCGCATCGTGAGCGAGGGGCGTGGTCCCTCCAAGCCCAGAGATGCAGCGCAGGACCTTCTCAACGAGCTCAGACTCGCTCAGCCGATGGGCATCTGGCAGCTTGTGGTTGAGGTTGTGCAAGATTTGCACGAGGGTGTTGAGCGAGTTGGCGGTCCGGCCAACCTCGACGGAGTCAAAGCTGAGACTGGCGATCGTCTCCTTAAGCTCGTGGACGGTGAGGTCGTTGATCGGTCGGAAGCAGTGCTGGCGCAGCAGCCGAAACATCTCCCCACCGTTGCCCGGCGCGAGATTCTGCAGCATCGACTTGAGGTTCTGGTCGATGACGTGCTGTGTCAGAAAGGAGGCGAGCGCCTTCTTCCGCCGGGTGGAGAGCTTGAGGAGGAGGACGCGAGTCGGGTTGGTGGGCGTCCCAGGTGGGTGCCCGCCAGCGGGTGGAGCGACGCCGGGCAGAGGGAGCGGCGCGGCCATCCCAGGGTAGAAGAAGGAGGCGTCGGTTCCGTCCTGCTCGACGTACCCGTAGGCGGAGTGCCCCTTGGCCTCATCGGCGAGTGAGTAGTCCTCGTCAGCGTGAGTGCCAAAGCAGCTGCCGAGGTGGTCAAGCGCATCGCTGATGAACCGCTCGTAGTCGTTGGGGTTGCCATTGAATGGCTGGCACTTGAACCTCCGCGGATCCCAGTCGCTGCTGACAGAGCCGTCGCCAATCGTGCTGAGCATGAAGGCGTCGGCAACGTCGGAGCCGAGAGTGGGAGTGGAGGTTTGCGAGTCGAGAATGGCGAAGCCGGCAGGGAGCAACTTGGCAAAGTAGACGGCGAGCTTAACAATGCGCCGGTGGATCTCCGCACCGATGGCCTTGAAGGTGTGTTGCATGGCCTCGGCAAACTGTGCGGCTTGCGGCACTGTGAGGATCTTGGCAATGTCGATGTCGGACGCCTTCTTGTGGTCGAGAGCGATCTTCTCCGCCTCGGCAAGCATCGCCGGCCACACGCGCTCCTCGGTCAGGTGCCAGAGCGCGTTCTTGGTGGCCAGGTCAGATGAGTCTTGGAAACCAGCTCCGTCACCTCCGAAGTCGACGATGCTGGTGATGTTGGCGTTGGTCATCGAGTTGATGGAGTCGCCCTTGAGCTTGGTCTCAGTGCTGGCCTCAGTGCCGTTGGTCTCAGTCTCATTGCCGGCCTCAGTGCCGAGTGCAAGGTCTCCAGCCTTGCCAGTCACCTTGATGTCCTCGGTTGGCGTCGCTTTGCCGTCCGAGACATCCTTGGTGTTCACCGACCGTATCGAGCGGACGGTGGACTCCACGACGGGCTCGCAGTAGCTCGTCGTGCGCTGGTTGACGGCCGCCGTGCCGTCGTTGACGACCGCAGTGTCGTCGATGATCTCACGCGAAGGAACCATGTCGGAAATCGTAAACAGTAAAGGACTAAATGACGTCGCTACAATGTGCGCGCTCTTTTCCATGACAATGTGCGCGGGACAGACACGGACACAGGAGGAAGGGAGGGTGGCTCCTCTCTCAGAGAGAGACACGCACACGGGTGAGGGGTGGAACACGTTCACACCGGGACGCCTTATCTCTTACACTTTAGGGATCCTAGTTGGGGTAGTGAACGATCGTCTACACACAATAACTGGGGGGAGGGGGGGGCCGCACTTCCAGTAGCGGCCCAACACTAACGAAGCCGAGCAACCGAAGTCGGTCGGCACATACAGCTATATCATACTAACTAACAACTAACTACTCATATTCGGGGCCTATTCACAGGCTCGCGCGTGATCACGAAGATAACCTGGAAGAGCCCTGCCGCCAAAAATCGCTTCGCCTGCGGCGCGCTCTTGCTTGCGCTCCTTCCTCGGTGCTCGGAGGACCTCGAGCTCTTTGAGGGCGAGCGAGGGGCGGAGCGGGTGGTGCGAGCGGAGTTTCCCAGCGGCATGGCGTGGCTCTTTGAGGGCGAGAAAGGTGCGGAGGAGCGGATGGTGCGCGAAGAGGGCTAGCTCAGGCCGGAGCGGGGCGGGGCGCGGGATGCTCCACAAAGAAGAAAAAAAGCTAAAAATGACAAATTAAAAGTTTTCAAAGGGGTGAATCCAGCTCCCATCCCTCCATTCGGTTGTCGTGTCCGTCCTTTTCTTTGTGTACCGTGTTAGTGCCAGTGCGCGCCAGTCCCGTGCCCAGTGTCGTGCGAGGGAATTTCGTTGTAAAATTCTTTCTATCGCGGAAGCCGTCAGGCGTCGTCTGCGCCTTGTCTTGCGTGTGAATCGTGCATGTGCAACCGCCTTTTGTCGTGAAATTCTATCGCAGGTTGAATGCGCATTCGCCATCGCGAGCCTAGAGCGCAGCGCGAACTCGCCGTCTGACTCGCCGTCTGAGCCTAGCGCAGCGCGAACTCGCTCTGAGCCTAGCGCAGCGCATCGGACATCACCATTTTGGCTCACCAACAAGCCCTCCGCGCCCCCACGCCTTGGCGAAAAACTTTTTGTTTGGGCGCCGGCACTCTCCGGGCCGCCACACATGCCGGCCACCAAGCGACTGTCGATCTCAGGGTTCCACCGCCTCGTCTCCCTGTCTGAGCCGGCGGGCGGCGAGGAGGCGCTGCCGCGTGGACCGTCTGGCGACGTGGGCCGGCGGTCGGTGCGTGCCGGGAAACTTCTGAGACTGAGTAGTGAGTTCTGTCTGTCTGCAAAAAGGATACGTTGACTCCAACGTCAAGAAGAGTCACCGCGCATTGCACACACGCGGCTGCACGCACACACACACACACCACGAAGTGTGATCGCTCAACGCTGCCCCAAAACGTGCGCCATGCAAAGACCGCGAGAACCCCCCCCCCTCTCCCACCCCTATCATACTGGACCGCTCACAGTCACGACAGCGAGCCGTACCCGTCTGCGTGGTACCCGTCGTCAGAGCCGTCATCTGACCGGGCCTCCCGCTCGGTGGCATCGCCATCATCGAGGTCCGAGCGCTCCCCCATCGTCGTCTCGGAGCCCGAGTCACACGCATCGCGCCACTCGCTTGCGCCCCGCTCCAGTCGCTCGAGACCGACACAGCTCCGAGAGCCGCCGCCCGAACCGGCGCTGTCCTCGAGGCCGGCCGTCTGCGACGGCCCGCCCGCGAAGCAGAGCCCGAGGGAGCGCTGCACGGGGCGGCGCTTCCGGTCGGCGGCGGCGACACAGGAGCTCGACTCGTCGGCCTCGTCGCGGCTTCGCAGCTGCTCTTGGAGTGCACGCCGCAACGCCGCCAAGGCTGGCCCCAGGCAGTAGTCGGCCGCGGCGAGCGCGGAAGCCGCTTGCTGCTCGCTGACGCCGCGCACGATCCTCCGTGCCTTGCTGATCAGATCGCTCACCTCCTCGGCACTCTTTCCCTGCCGTGGCCGCTTCGGCGCTGGCTCTGGAGCGAGCGCAGAGTGTTCCACGCCGGGCTCGCCGGACGACCGCGCACCAAGTGAAGCTGCCGCCGGAGGCGAATGGGCGAGTGGCCCCACGGCACTCGGGGAGAGGGCCCCGCCACGATCGACGCCACGCGATGCAGACGCAGCGACCTCGGAGCAGAGAGTGTCACTCCGGCTCGCCTTGCGCGGCATCAGCGAGAAGTCCAACCGCAGGGCGTCAAAGTCTGGCCAAATGGCGCCCGCAACCGCGGCCTCGCTCTTGAGCCGATCGATCAGCTCCCGCTCCGCGGCGCTCAGACCGATCGTGCGGCGTGGCGGATGCACCACCGCAACCGCTTCTCGTGCCAAATCCGGCGGCGTAATGCAGTCGGGGTGCTGCGACGATGGAGGGGGCACTGCTGTGGAGGGTCTCGGCACGACCGTCCTGGGCGTGGACGGGAGGGTTGCCTTTGGCTGTACGGCCGCCGCTTGTGATGGCACGCGGTCGATGCCCATCCAGGGCGACTGCTGCGACTGCGACTGCTGCTCTGTCTGCGACTCGACGTTGCCGTTTGAGAAGCCAAACGAAGCCGGTGCATCAGCGGCCGCCAAGCTCTGGCTGCACGCCGCTCCGCCGTCGGCCAGCCAGCCGGGAGGCGCCTGGGTCTCGTCCTGCGACTCGGCAGGCGCGACGTTGGCAGCGAACAACCCCACGATGGGATCGTCGGGCGCCGAAAGACCGTCGGACCTTATCAACGCCATGAGCTCGAGGGCAAGGTCCTCCTTCTTCCCGCCCCGCTGGATCGAGTGGCGTCGCAGAATGAAGCTCAGCTCCTTCTTCGAGAAGGTGGAGGCGAGCGACTGGGCCGTGTACACGTTGAGCCACGAAAACCGGCGGTGAAGGTCCGTGTAGCACAGCTCCGGGGCGGCGGGCGGCGGGCGCGGCGTCTGTGGCGGCGGCGGGCGCGGCGGCTGCGGCGGCTGCTGTGGTGGTGGGTGGAGCTGCGACGGCGCGCGAGGAGGGTGGCCCGGCGGCGGCGGCGATGGCTGATGATGCCGAGTCGGCTGCAGCAGCGCCGGCGTTGACGGCGGCAGCAGCGCGGGCCGGCTCACAGGATCCACCAGCTTCCAGTCACGCATGCCCGGCGCCTTGAGGCTGGCGAAGAGGTCGAAGACGCTTTCCTTTCCCTGGCTGGGCTCGAGTGCCGGCTTGACCAGGCCAAACACGCGTGGCATTTTGTGAAGGCGACAGACCAAGTGTGTAGAATGGCGAGGCGCACACGCTGGTGCAGGCGGGGAGTCGTCGATTCGTCCCGACGTGAAGTCGCCCTGGGGATCCGCGGTGCGCACTGTCCCTCTGTGTTCGTGTGCGTCGCCCATCTCTCCCTGGAGATGACTGCTCTATTTATTTATTAGGAGAGACGGAGAGACGGAGAGACGGAGAGAGCGAGCGAGCGAGCGAGCGAGAGTGAGTGAGTGAGTGAGAGAGACCACTTTGCGGCTCTCTGACCTCCACCTCGCGGCCCGCTGCGCGGCTCTTCGAGCGCGAGAGGTGTCGTCTGCGAGGCGGCGGCGAGCGCAGGCGGCGCAGGCGGCGGCGGCGCGGCGGCGCGGCGGCGGATCGCGGCGCTAACAACAGCGGCAGTCTGCGGCTCGACAGCAGCTGATAGCCAAGCCTTCCCTCCCCTGCCCTCCTCCCCGCCCGCCCGCCCGCCCGCCCCGCCCCGCCCCGCCCCGCCCCGCCCCCTCCCCTCGCCCGCGCACTAGCCACCGCCCTTCGCTCGTCTAGCGTATAGGTACTCCCGAGGGGGAGGGGAAGACGTTGGGCGCGCGCCACTGCGCTCGCCTGTCACCGAGGCCCCTCCACCCTCTCTACTCGCTGCCTACTCGCTGCCGCGAGGGAGGAGGGGAAGACGTCAGGCAGCTCTCACTCCGGTGATGAGCGCTTGAACGGAGGCCCCTCCCCGAAAGGTCAGCTTAGTACCCATGAAACCCGAGACCCCTCCCCACCGCCCCGATCCCCCCACCCCCTTGCTCCCCTCCCCCCCTCGGGAGGGCCGAACTGAGGCGCCCGTGGGGACCCCACAATTCCCTTCCCCCCTCGGAGGGGGCCGGACGGAGGCGTACCCCGTGGGCCCCGCTCTTTCCCTCGCATAGCGGCCACTCTTCGGATCGCTGGTCGAGCGACCCGGGGGATGCCCCGCGCGCCTGACCCAGGCGCGAAAAACGAATCTGCGAGGCGAGGCCGCTCACGCGGCCCGATGGGGAGGAACGGGGCGAGCCCCCTCCAACCCACCCGCGCTAGGTCTCGGGTTTGACGCATGGGGTCACACCCGCGAAACCCGTGAACTAGCCGGGGCAGTCGGAGAAGTGGCAACTCCGTGCACTGACGGTCGGCCGCCAGAAAACACGCCTCCGTGGCTCGGGTTACACCAATCCTCGCTACCCCCAACGCGGCCAAAGGATATCCACCTCGAGAACCTCGAGAACCTCGAGAGAGACAGAGAGAGAGAGAGAGAGAGAGAGAGAGAGAGAGAGAGAGAGAGAGAGAGAGGGAGAGAGAGAGAGAGGGAGAGAGAGACGGAGAGAGAGACGGAGAGAGAGAGAGAGAGAGAGAAGAGACACACGGAGAGAGAGATCAGTAACCAGCCTCCGGCGGGGCCCCCCGCTACCATCCAAACCCGAGTACCGGTCTACTAATCATACATAGAGGCTCAAGTGTGACATAAGTCCACACACATTACGACATACACATGCACAAAGCAAACTCTCACGACACACGGCAACCGGGTGGAGCGGCGGCGGCGGCGGCAGCAGCACGCGCGGGCGGACGGATTCGGACGGGGCGGAGCAGCAGCCGCCCAGGCGGCCGCTGCTCTGTCTGCCAGAGCGCGCCGTCTGCCTGCGCAGCTCGAGCGCGGTCAGGTGCAGCGAAGCGTGGCGGCGCGGGGAAGCGCGGCGCGGTGGTGGCGGCGGCGGCGGCAGCGGCACGCGCGAGCGGACGGATTCGGACGGGGCGGAGCAGCGACCACCTAGGCGGCCGCTGCTCTGTCTGCCAGAGCGCGCCGTCTGTGCGCAGCTCGAGCGCGGTCAGGTGCACAGGGAAGCGTGGCGGCGCGGGGAAACGCGGCGGCTCGAGCGCGGTCAGGTGCACAGGGAAGCGTGGCGGCGCGGGGAAACGCGGCGGCGGTGGCGAGCAGGCGAGCGGCCCGCGCGCGGCGAGGCGGACAGGTGATCGGCAGGCGGGTGATGGGCCGGAGAGTGACCGCGCCCAGCGATCGGAGGCGAGCCGATCGTCGCTCGGCCGCAGCTGACCTCGAAGGCGTGCGGAGCGCGACTGTCGGTGTCGGGGGGCGGCCGTCATTTGGCGAGGAGGGAGGACGACAAGTGCGCGTCGTACGGGTCGCTCTTTATCGGCCAAAGTGAAATGAGCCCACGGCTCTACTAGTGTAGCCAAACGTCAGATCGACTGGACGAGTACAGGACGGACCGACTGGATGGATCGGACCTGGACTCGCGCGACAGCTTCTGGCTCAGCTCTTCTCGCATTCTTCTATGGCAACCAAAACGATCACGTATCTTCAGGCCGAGGGCGACGCCAATGAGCGCTTCGCGGCACGCGGCGCGCACAACCTGCTCCTCGAAGGCGAGGCACAGCGCCAGGCGTTCCTGGGATCCATCGCCGGTGTCTCGCTGGTGGATGGGATCAAGGAACTGGAGTGGCCGGTCCTCGCGGAGGTGGTCATGCCGTTCGTCACCCTCGCGCCGGACGCGTGGGAATCGGGTTACGGCGCGGTGTACATCGACGAGGACGCATGGTCCCGTTGGGCTGAAGCCATGTCAATGCTGATTGCAGACATGGGCAAAGCCGCATGGACCAAGGCATACGAGGAGATCATGAAGAGGCTGGAGGCAGCGAGTGAGGACATCAAGCAGAAGATGCACCTGCGCCTGGCAGACCTAGTGCCAGTGCAGCCGGAGGTGCACTACGCGGAGGAGGGAAACGCTGCCCAGAGGGCTGCTGCAGCCGCAAAGAACAAGGCTGCGCAGGATCGGGCGTTTTTGAAGGAGCTCAAGCTGGGAGATCTCGCGGGATCTGACGGGCGACTCGCATTCTACGCGCGGGCGGCGACAGCGGTGGGAAGCCACGTGACAGTCTCCTCGCGGGATGCAAAGTCGTTCATGAAGGCGGTGCGGGCCATCCGCAGTGCCGCAGAGTCCAAGATGGGCGAGGACCTCGATTCCGAGGAGGTTGCACTCGCCTTCAAGGGCATGCTGACGGTGGATCCCGTCATGCCGGTCCTAATGAATCTTACCAAGACGGCGGGCGGTCCGGCCGCGCGGATCAACCTTCGGCGCATGGCGTGGGTGTGGAGCGGGGATCGGCCGGTGGGGGAAGCTGAGCTTGCCCCGCTGCTAAAGGAAAACTTCCACGCTGCGCTTGCATGCTTCGACGCGGTCCGGGCTATGGTGGGCTCGGCGGCGGACGGCTCGTCGCTCCCGGCCGACGTCGGGCGCGTGTACTCGTCGGTGTCGACAGTGGCCATGCGCGTCGGAGTGCTCAAGAACGGAGACCATCTTGGGCCCGCATCGCTGAAGGAGTTGGAGCACAAGATGAAGCACTTGCGCGGCACGCTCGAGGGAGGTCGGTACACGGCAAAGTCCATGTCCGAGCGATGCGACGAAGTGGTGTGCATGCTCCATGCCGTGGCCCGCAACGCGGCGATGCACCTTCCCGCGGGCGCGGTTGGGGGCGCCGGGACCGCAACAGAAACCGACAGGCTGGGCGCCAAGCCGGGCGCGTTCCGCGTATGGCTCGCGTGCGCTCTGCTGGCGGCGGGCGCAACGCCGGAGCAGATCATGGCTCTGCTGCGCTGGTCGTCGGAGGAGGCGAGGCGGCTGTACGCGCGCATCGGCGAGCGAGTTCAGATCTCGCTGCTCGACGCCGCGGTCGATGCGAATTTCGAGACGGTGCGCTCGCACACGCTCTTGGCGGCGACCGCAACCGGCGGGGCGGGGTCGAGAGTGGGCGAGGCGAGCGCGGCGGCGGCGCGGGCGGTAGACGAGGCCATGGAGCTCGTCGGACGCGCGCACGCCTTCATCGGAGCGCTGCCTAGCCCGGAGGCGCTGCCGAGCATCGACGATGACAACGACGTCCGGAGGGTGAGCGAGGCCGTGACCGCGCTGAGGTCGGAGGCGGCGAAAGCGGATCGAGCGCTCGAGCTGGACGACGGGGCGGAGGAGCCCGATGACGAGCCAGCGTCACACTAGGACCAGGGGTAGGGCACGGCGCCTGCCTCAGTGCGGCGCTGGTACGACACCAGCGTCACACTAGGATCGGAGGTTGGCATGGTGCCTACCTCAGCGCGGCCTCTTTCGGAAAGCAGCGCAGCTGCCTCTTTCGGAAAGCAGCGTTGCTGCCTCTTTCGGAAAGCAGCGCAGCTGCCTCTTTCGGAAAGCAGCGTTGCTGCCTCTTTCGGAAAGCAGCGCAGCTGCCTCTTTCGGAAAGCAGCGTGGCTGCCTCTTTCGGAAAGCAGCGCAGCGGCCTCTTTCGGAAAGCAGCGTGGCTGCCTCTTTCGGAAAGCAGCACGGCTGCCTCTTTCGGAAAGCAGGACCGATGTGTCAGCACCGCGCGAGTACGCGCCCAGGCGCCGAATGTGTTAAGGTGCGACACAGTGAGCCGCAGCCCGGAAGCTGTGTGCCGTGCCCGGGGGTTGGGGACTGACTGAGGGGGGACTCGTCATGATTTCGTGCGGAGCACGAGGTAGTGTAGCTCGAGGAGAGCTATCTACTATTGATGCCATGTGATGGCCTGACGCCGAGGGGCGTGGAATATGGGCCTGTACTGGTGCGCGGAGCGCGACAGGCCCGTAATGGAAAAAGGGGGGGCGCTCGCTCGAGGGAGCGAGTCGCAATAATCCCGCGCGAAGGCGCGCGGGCCACGACCCACCCACCCAGTAGGGACATGCAAGGATGCCGGAGCGCGGGAGTCGCGAGGCGTCACGCAAGCACCGGAAGGGATATGCACGCGCCAACGCCCGTCCAGGACGGACGGAGGCGTTAGGACAACGCAACCCTAACCCGTAGCCAAATTGGCACTCGGGCGTGTGCGCGCGTGGACACTACTCCTTGCTGTATGTCCCTACGGCATATTAAGATGCCGATAAATGCCTCAAGAGCCGAGTGGGGGCCGGAAAGCCCAACACTCCCTCGCCAGGAAGCATCGCAACACAAAGAGCTACGTGAAATGAGCCCACGGCTCTACTAGTGTAGCCAAACGTCAGATCGACTGGACGAGTACAGGACGGACCGACTGGATGGATCGGACCTGGACTCGCGCGACAGCTTCTGGCTCAGCTCTTCTCGCATTCTTCTACCCACCACCATCCCCTTATCTCCTCCAATGTCTGAGCAGTCGAAGCCAAGGCAAGCTGCTCAACTTGAGGGGACGAGGCCAGCATTAGCAGTAGTGTTGCTAGTTAGCCGTGGGGGATATGCACGCGCCAACGCCCGTCCAGGACGGACGGAGGCGTTAGGACAACGCAACCCTAACCCGTAGCCAAATTGGCACTCGGGCGTGTGCGCGCGTGGACACTACTCCTTGCTGTATGTCCCTACGGCATATTAAGATGCCGATAAATGCCTCAAGAGCCGAGTGGGGGCCGGAAAGCCCAACACTCCCTCGCCAGGAAGCATCGCAACACAAAGAGCTACGGGGCTACTGGGGCGGCCAATTCACACCTCGCGGGACTACTTATGTTTTCGTAAACGTAGTCGTGGCCCCCCGCTACGTCGCACGACTGCGACTGGGTAGCGGGGGGCTAAAAAGAGTAGAGAGACCTCGAGAGGAATCAACGCGCCCACGCGCCCGGACATGCCCGCCGTCACGCTCGTCCTGGCCCCTGCCCCCTCGACATGAACATAAGTACTGTGGGGCACAAGGGACGCACCAGCACAACGTTCATGCAGTCTCGGCCTCAGTCAATGACGCTCTTTCTCACTCCAAGCTTCCCGCTCCATGCCGGCGCCGGCGGTGGCGCCGCCTCGACCAGATTCTTCCTCCGGTTGCTGAGGAAGGACATCGTGGAGGCCCAGCACACGTCAAGCGCGTAGCTCGTGCTCAGCCGCAGGTGTGCAGGAACCCGCCAGAAGATGAGCGTCATCGCGGGCACCCACAAGCTGCACCCCGCGGCGACGGCGTCTGCGTACCCTTCCCGCAGCGTCTGCACCGCCTTCTCGGCCCCCACTTGCGGCGTGAGCGAGACGAGGTGGAAGCCCGTGATGTCGACCGTGCTGATGGCAAGGTTGTAGCAGAGGACCTTGGCTGCCACCGACTTGGCGCCGCTCGTCCCAAACGTGCGCTCGACACCGCCCATGAACGGCGTCCAGAAGAATAGCGCCGCCGGCGCGTACCACGCGCACACACAGGCGGTGCGCTTTGCGTCAAGCGCGCCGAGCCCATCGGCGCCCTCGATCAGCTGCGCGCCGACATCGCCGGCGCCGCCGAGCGTGGTGGCGGCCATAACGTTCAGTGCGGACGGGTTCCGCTCCCCCCACGCCGAGAACGCCCGCAGCGAGCCTCGCAAGAGCACAGCCATCGTCGACGTCGCTTTGCGTCGACGTCCGCCCGCCCAATCAAACTCGGACGTCCCTCGCTCGAGCGCGCGAGAGAGAATTTTGTGGGTTAGAGAAATGTGCTGTAATAGACACTGATCACACACACGGGTGGGACAGGGTGTGTCACCGCAACGAAGCACGAGCGCGTGCTTGACAGGGCGACAGCGCAGGTGCGCAGCGCTCTGCCGTCCGCCGAGAGAACGGCGAAGGGACGGCAGCTGCGCAATGTGAACAGTTTGTACATGTACATGAAATGACGTAATGAGAGTGCCGGGGCCCGAGGAATGGATTAACCGGGCACCCTCACCCTCCACTTTTTCTCCCTCCCAATCGATGCCCAGGCTGCTTGGGGTTCGACGCCCATCAAAGGGATTGCGACAGAACCAGTAACCATACAAACATTCAAACGTCAAAAGAAATGTCCGGCGCCTGGACGCGTCCGGAGCCTTGGTCAGAAGGCATCGCCGTCGGCTCGATGCATCGCTCCTCTCTCGTGCTCCGTAGCAGCCGCAAGTTGTTGAGCCCATCTCTTCCTCCTCCTCATCTTCTTCCTTCGACTTTGCGGCTGCCGCTATCCACCGGCGCCCTCCGCTCATTGAGCACGCAGCACTTCAAGGCGAGCAACACAGTGCACCCACTTCTGCCGCAAAAGCAGTACCTGGCGATGGAGCGGGAGATGGCCGACAAGACTGGGCGGCAGCAGAATCACATCTGGTCCAAGGACGAGCTCGACTCGGCGCTGGCCACCTTCAGTGACAAGCACGTGCCAGAGACGCTCTCCGACAAGGTGATGCACGGCTTCATGTACTATGGCCTCTACCACCCGTTCAACTTCATCACTGGCTACACGCACCACGACCCCTCGCCCTCGTCGCTGGTGTGGCGCCTCATCGTCCTCGAGTCCTTCGCTGGCGTACCCGGCTTCGTGGCCGCCGGCATGCGCCACTTCCACTCCCTGCGGGCGCTGGAGCGCGACTACGGCTGGATTCACACGCTGTTAGAGGAGGCGGAGAACGAGCGGATGCACCTGCTTACCTGCCTCTCCATGTTCCAAGCGGGTCCCGTCACCCGCCTCATGTGCATCGGCGCGCAGTTCTCGATGACGCCCTTCCTGATGATGATCTACGTCGTGAACCCAAAGGCCATGCACCGGTTCGTCGGCTATCTCGAGCAAACCGCATGCGAGACGTACCACAACGTGATCTCGCACCTGGAGACGCCGGGCACGCGGCTGCACGCCGAGTGGTCGGGTCTCCCAGCCCCCGAGATCGCAAAAGGCTACTGGAAGCTGCCGGACGACGCGACGTGGCTCGACACCCTCCGCTGCATCTACGCAGACGAGTCTCATCACCGCGACGTCAACCACACCTTTGCTTCGATGGCGTCCGACGACCCGAACCCGTTTGTGCACATGCACAAGGAGGACGCCGCGCGCGCGTGGAAGCTCGAGCAGGCGCAGCGCCTGCTGAGGGAGCACCGGCACGGCAGCTCGGCCTCATCCACCTAGGTGTGCGCGGATACGCGCGGATTTAGAGCGCAGGGCCGCGCCAGAACAGGCGTGAGTGCGGGCGTGGCGCGGCCCTGACTCGTGGCACGGCCTCGGAGCGCTCGCGTGCGCGCAGTCACGAGTCGGCGCGTGGTGGGGTCTCTCGCTCTCGCGATATCATTCCTCTCAGGGCGTTCCAGAACCCCAGGGGGCCAGGCCACCCAGCCCACGGCAAACGCGCTCGCTCGAGCTCGCTCTATATACAGAGATCAGAGTAGAGCGGCTACAGCCGGCTCGCGCTCGGCGGGGACGGCGCGCGGTCCGCGGTGTTCACCATTACTTTTTTGAGAGCTCTCTTCGAGGAGAAGCGAGGTCCCGAGGAAAAGATTCCGGCCAAGCCTGATGTGTGGGTGTGTGGGTGACCGCGCGCCCAGCCGGCGCGCACCAGTCCGCGCCGCTCGCGACGCACCGCTCCCCCCTCCCCTCGCCGGTCGCCGCCGCCACTCTGCAGTTAGCTACGTAGAGCGATACGCAGAGGTCACACAGTACTCGATTTCCTATTTTCAAAGGATGCGAGCAGCCGCTCGAACGCGGCGAGGAACTCAGCCGGCCGCCTCCCGCTCTCGGTCGCGGTGGTTCCGAAGGCGAGGGCAGCGGCGCGGCGAACTGAGGGACGGCGGGCGGGAGAGTGGCGTGGTGAGCGGAGAGGCCGGGCGAGGAGGCGGGCTACGGTGGTGGATGGTACCCAAGCCGAAGAGCGCCGCGGAGGCGCCTCCGTCCGGCCTGTGGGGCGGCTCGACCACGACAGCTGTCTCCTCGGTCCAGGACGTGCCGCAGGGGGAGGCGAGAACGGTGCCCTAGGAGAGAGGTGTGTGCGTGTCCGCTGGCAGGGCCTCGGACCCGAGAGCGCCGCCCGCACCTCGTAGCCCAGGCGCGCCGCCGCGACGCTCGCATCACGGAGGCAGCGCGGCATGTGCGTCGGCGAGGAGACCAGCAGCGCCCGCTGCACGCCCAGCCGCGACAGTCGCGCGAGCGCCGCGAGCACCTCCTGCTGCGTGTTGAGCGACTCGGTGTCGGCGAGACTGTGCGGCGGAGCAGCGCCTCGAGCGCCTCCAGGTCGACCCCTCGAAAGGCGTCAAAGGAGAGGAGGGACGGCAGCCGCTCAAAGAGCAGCGAGATCAGTGCGTCCGCCTCAGCAGAGCCGCTTGCGGTCTGCGAGGCACCCGAGCCGCAGATGAAGGCCTGCAGCTCGTGCCGTGCCTGCCAGGCGAGGAGCGCTGCGTGCGGCAGCCGCCCGAGCCGCTGCGCCGCCTCGTCGCCCCACACCACCTCCTCCCAGCGCGGAGCGTTGCAGTGGAAGCCGTGCACGACGATGCCAGTGCTCGGCGCAGCAGTGACGGAGGCGAGAGCGGAGATGGCCAGGAGCAGCATCGCCCCAGAAAAGCAGGCTCCTAATCACGCGGTGACGACGCAGTCGGGCAGGACAACCAGCGTCGTTGTGAACCGCACGGCCTCGGCTCGCACTCTCAACCACTCACAAACAGTATACTGTCCCGTTTTGCTGTTCACAGCTAGGGACACAGGCTTTTACGTGCGTCCCAAATGCGCGTTTGCGGCTTGCCTGTGCTCTCGGCCGCCTCGCTGAGCGAGACCGAGCGCGGTGCTGGTCGCGCCGACACTGCCGATCCGTCGAGCACTGCGACGGCTGCTCAACCAATGAGAGTCGGCAGCGCTGCCTCTGCGGCTGGTGCGCCTGCACAAACCACGCCAAGCGACTGCAAACTGGGCGCAAACCTGTCTGGCAATGCTCTGGGCGAGGATGTCAGTGTGGAAACCACTCGAGTCCTTCAGCTTGATCCTGCCTCGACGGCTCGCACCGCAAACGCGGGTCCTGCACTTCCTCGCGGTGCTGGCATCTCTGCGCTGCGCCATATTGACGCCAATAACTCTGCTTTCAACATGCTCAACGAGGCGGGCGCTGCTGCAGCGCTGACTCCCAACGAGCCTCGCTGCCCTCTGCGCGGCTGGCCTAACCTGTGCTGCTGCTGCCGCCGCCGCTGCTGCTGCTGATGCTGCTCCTGCTACCCTCCCGCCCGCCCGGCCTGTCCGACCGCCCGCCCGCCCGACCGACCGGCCACCCATTCCCATCACCATCTCACATACCTTCATATAGGCGCTCGAGACCTCCTCTCGCTGCCTACTCGCTGCCTCGAGGGAGGAGGGGAAGATGTCAGGCAGCTCTCACTCCTGTGATGAGCGCTTGAACGGAGGCCCCTCCCCGAAAGGCAAGTCTTAGCCACATGAAACCCGAGACCCCTCCCCACCGCCCCGATCCCCCCACCCCCTTGCTCCCCTCCCCCCCTCGGGAGGGCCGAACTGAGGCGCCCGAGGGGACCCCGCAATTCCCTTCCCCCCTCGGAGGGCCGGACTGAGGCGTCGAGGGCCCCGCTCTGTCCCTCGCATAGCGGCCACTCTTCGGATCGCTGGTCGAGCGACCCGGGGGATGCCCCGCGCGCCTGACCCAGGCGCGAAAACGAATCTGCGAGGCGTGGCCGCTCACGCGGCCCGATGGGGAGGAGGGGAAGACGTAGGGCGTGCTTGCGCGCCTTTCCGAGGCCCCTCCAACCCACCCGCGCTAGGTCTCGGGTTTGACGCATGGGGTCACACCCGCGAAACTCGTGAACTAGCCGGGGCAGTCGGAGAAGGGGCAACTCCGTGCACTGACGGTCGGCCGTCAGAAAACACGCCTCCGTGGCTCGGGTTACACCAATCCTCGCTACCCAACGCGGCCAAAGGATATCCACCTCGAGAACCTCGAGAGACTGGCATCCCTGAGCGGCGCAAGGGCGTGGATGTGGTGCGTCTCCGCCGCTGTCATGGGTGTCGCCCTAGCCAGATGGCGGGGAAGGAAAGACAGAGGAGAAGGCAACCGACCGAGCTCTTCTACCGCATCGGCCACGAGCCACAACAAGGGCCAACGAAGCCAGCGGGCAGCCCCAGCTGCGCAAAACCGGAGGACCCCCCCCCGCAGAGAGAAAAGAATTTTACAACAAAACTCCCTCGCACGACACTGGGCACAGGACTGGGCACGGGACTGGCTCGCACTGGCACTAACACAGGTACACCAGAGAAAAGAAGCGAAAAAGCCGGACGGCGCGCCCGAAAAAGAAAACGCCGTACACGGCGCCCAGCGCCAAGGGGACGCGAAGCGTGGACGGGGGCAGAGGTCGCCGCCCTCCCGATCCGCGCAAAAAAGAGAAGGGTGTGGGCGTGGAAGCGACACCGACGGAATGCGCGGCGGAACGAAGGAGCGGGGGAAGCTAGACCCTGACCTAGCCTTCTACGGGGTACCCGCAGTCGAACCCATCTTGAGCCCGCTCGAGAGGGCGGACATGCGGGCGCAACGTCGGGGGATGAGGCCCCTCATCGATGAGGACCTAGCACACCTGGGGATACCCGCGGCCTACACGTGGCACATATACCCATCACCGAGTGGAACGCGCTCATGAAGGCACTACACGGAAACGGAATGAGCAAGGGCAAACAGAAAAGGGTAACCGGGAAGAAGGCGCACGGACAAGCTCATTTCGCCACCTCAACGTATGCGGCGGGGCCTCGAGAGCATAGAGGGGGCGATGGAGGAGATCCGGGAGCTAAGGGTAAGGGGAAGCGCACCGATCCGCAACACGGGAAGGGAGGCAACAAAGAAGCTGGCGGAAATCATCAGGTACATAAAAGAAGGAGGGGTGTGGCTCGCCACGCTGGCGGACACGCACCTAGGCGAGGAAGAAATGCGCGAAGTGATAGAATACCTAGAGACGCAGGGGATAGAGGCGTGCGGGACCCCAGCTTACAAAGACCCGGCCGCGCGCGCGCTCAAAGCGGGGGTGTTGATTGTGTGGGACCCGGACCACCTGCAAGCAAAGAGAGACGGGAAGGGAGAAGTGGCCATGGAGGAGGTGGAGAGAGGTCGCGTCGTGAGGGTGGAGATGGAGGACGTGGCAAGCGGACTGGAATGGACACAGATAGGGGTCTACATGCCAGTGAGGGGGCAGGCTAAGATAACGGTCGCGGGCGGAGGGACGGGCGACACAGAAACAAAGGACCCCGCGCAAGACGCGTGCCGTGGGAGAGTACGAGCTAGACAAAATCCATGGAGAATACATTATCGGTGGGGACTTCAACGCCGAGACGGAGGCCTTCCTACGAGGCAGAGGCAAAAGGAACGGACTCTCTCGGACAGGATGTTCAACGGACTGCTGAATGAAGCGGGGCGAGACCTGAGAGCGATGGCGAACGACGCAACGTACCGGACGGGCACGCAAATTGACAACTGGAATCCCGTCGTCAGCTGTAACGATGCACCCGAAGGGGACCCCAGCGCCAACATCATCGCTTCGGTGGACGTACAAGTGTTCAAAGAGAGAGTGGACCTGAGCAACGATATGACTTGGCGGCAAATGATCGGAGTGGGCGTCAGAAGAGTCGTCCTTGCGCGAGGAGAGCTCGATAAACTCGAGGGGCCAAAATATGCCGCGAGGAGGGCAGAGTTGCGCCGAAAGGCGGGAGAAGCCGCAAGAGCAAGGGATCGGCAGGCGGCGGCGGCGTCGCAGGACGAGGCAGACGAGAGCGACGCGACAGAGGAGGAAACGACAGGAGGGAGAACGACGAGAGTGGGACGACCGCGAGGTGGCATGAAGGTTGCAGCGAGAATCGGCGAGGGACTGCGAAGGGAGATAGAAAGAGGCAGACGACCAAGGGATTAGGGTGGGGCTAGCACCACACTCCTCTCCTTAAAATCCCTGTGTGGTGGCGGCGTGCCGTCCTCCCATCCCTCCCTTGGGTTGTCTGTGTTCTTTCTTTTCAATGAGCCAGTCCCGTGCCCAGTGTTGTGCGAGGGAGCTTTGTTGTAAAATTCTTTTCTTTTCCCATCCCTCGTTTGGTTCTGTGTTTTCTTCGAGTAACAAAATTATTTCTTTTACACGGGCCCCGGGCGGGACTGCGAAAAAGAATTTTACCAGAAGCGCCCGTCGCATGACCATCGGGATGCGAACAAGAGGAAGGGCCGAGAGGAGAGGGGAACCTCCCCGGAAAAGGGGCAAGGAGACCGAGCGGAGGGATCCTGAGCGGCGAGGCCGTCGCCGAGTGGGAGTGTGCGTGTCGTCTCGTGTCCATGGTGTGTCGCGTGTTTATTAGTACGAGTCGTACTAGAGGGGGCGTTCTGCTGCTAGGGGAAACCCGGAGCGCGAGCCCCAACCCTCGGAGACCCGTGTTGACTTTACGGCCCTTTCCCTGCGAACGCGCACCCCCCCTTAGGGGTCAGGGCTCTCTTGCCCGTAGCCCGATACCGATCATCATCCGGCCCGCTGGGTGCGCTTCTTTTAGCTCCCCGGCGCCCTGGATGTGAGGTTAATGACTGCACCCTCCAAGTGCTCCGGCAAGACTCCCTCGGCCCTCGCACGACACTAGGCACGGGACTGGGAGAGAGAGTTGTTTGTTCGGGACTGGCGCAAAAATAAATAAAAAATCTGGGTGTAAATAAAGGATTTTCCTTTTATTAGATACGGCTTTAGAGAAAAGGCTAAAACGTAAAGCTAAAAGCATGGACAGCGACAGGCGGCGCGCTGCGGCGGCGCGGGGCGAGGATTCCGAAGTCAAAAAACAGAAAGACCGCGTGGTGAGAAAAACTGACTAGATGTCGACGATGACGAGAAGATCCGCTCGCGTGGGCGTCTCTGTGATGCGCATCGCGGAGTAGGTAATCGCCTTGACCTCGGTCCCTACCACAAGGCCGGAGGTGTGAAGAGAGACGCGCCTCCCCCGCCCAACCGACCGGACGGCGGCCGCTGTGCCTTGCGGGTGCCGGCCAAGCTCGAAGCACTCTCCAACGGCGAGAGAGCGCACGCGGAAGGCGGCGCGATCCAACGACACCACGCGAAGCCGCCGCGGCACGAACCCGCCGCCGCCCGTG